ACTGGTGTAAGCCATTAGCGCATATGCCTGTGTCTCGTATTTAAGTCGCGAAATCGGCACTACCTCTGCGACTGGGATATCGAGTGAACTAATCGCGGAATGTGCTTTAAAACGAATCGTGGTCGGAAATACCTAGCGGCTCCAGAATTAGAGCTGCCAATCAAGAGGTTCTCTCTGCTCTTTGTGTTCATTAATTCTCATCATAACTAGCTTAATAACATTTATTCGACTATGAAGAAAAATTTAACATCAAGGCAACAACCTCAGATGAGGTTGTGCGGAAGAAGATCCTGTATTCTGTGGCTGAGATAGAGTTGCTCACTAGCATTATCGGAAACCGAAAACTGCGCAATAGAAGCGCTGGGTCCTTACAAAGTGAGCTAATGGGAGGAAATGTGAGCTAATGGACGAGATACCTCGCTCACTCCCTAGCACGCGACACAGATTTCGATGTAGCGGGCAAGGTAGTCGATAGACAGATAGATAGACATGACATCCGCCCCGCAGTGATGCGGTTGTGTTCAAAAACTCGTGTATACATGCAACCTTTTCGCCATCCTTAACGGTCGCTGTCAATTCACCCTATGGTATGGGGTTGCTGTTTCAAGCTCATTCCGAAATATTATACATCTTACCAAGGCGTCTTTTCCACACATGAAGCTACATTAGGAACGGACCATTTATGCCTTACAGTCCTTAATTTTTGCACTCTTATTCTGCTCTATGAAGGTCAAAATTTGAGGGGGAACGCTAAATTGTTTGAGATTTAGTGGCATCCTATGGACAGACTTTTCATTATGCTTTCACCACAGTTGGAAAAAATACTGGAACGATCAAAAATGAAGGCTACCTTTGTGGGCCACTGCTCGGGTATCATCGTCGTCTGCATGGTAGCATGAGTCGTGCGAGGTCAGTGTTGAGTCCTTTTGATCGCGCGTGTGAAGAGTTCGCTTTACCACTGCAACTGAGCGCGGAAACATGGAAGACCTATAAGTTCGTCATGGTCCGAACAATTATTTGAAGGGTTTTTTTTATTGTATGTCTGGGTCTGAACAAAAACTGTATGCACAGCTTCCAAAATTAGTGTATTGAAGTTGGCCGTCTGGAGGGAAGTCAGTGTTCACTGAGGGAATTCTGGTAAAAGCGCACAGGCCTTTTCCTGTTTTCTGCAGCACTTGCTATTGAGAGCAGGTGTTGACGCACTCATAATTCGTGCCAATAAATTTCACACGCCTGTCAGAAGCTCTACTAATGGATAGATGTTAAAAACAGCAAGGAGAGCTGAGCAAGCTGGATGAAAGTGCTCGGGTTTCATTGATCAAGTGGGAGATGTCTGTCGATGATTGAGACCGGTGACGCTCTCGCATGCTAAGCCTCACCAACTAAGCCACAGGTTATCGAAGTAAAGCAATAGTCTGACGTACATGGTGCGTAGGGAATGAAGGGATGGATGGGGCCTGCGATTTGGAATCTTCTAAATCTACACACGCTGGATTGTTCAAGTGGTGGGGGGGGGGGGCAGAAAGTCGCGTCTCGTTCTGTATTCAAACAGGAATTAATGACACTTTGCATAACAAACGAATGAGCTTTCAATCGATATTGAAGAGCACATTCTAACTCTACACGCAGAAATAAACATAGGGGTTTTCTAATACGGAGGCATGCAGAAGATGGGGGGTTTCCACGGAACATGGGCCGGTACGAGCTTCAACAGGGTTCGTCGGAGAACTATCGACGACGGAGTCGCTGAACGCTTTATCAAAAGCATCTTGCAGTCAGAGCTCGGGTCTAAGGCGGCTTCACCAGTTAACCGATTGAAGAAATTACTGAAGAGTCAGAGGGGGAGCGTTATGTAGGCCTTGAGCTCGACGATGCGACAGATGACTCATATTTGGGCGGTAGGGGCAGTGAGAAGGCTGCTTCCTGATTCTGAGGGGAGGGGACATCTAAGGAATATATCCTCGTGAACAAGCATCCTTTGCGACAAAAATTTTGATGATATGCGCCATGGGCGAAGTGACTTTTTTCTTTCTCCTGTATTTGTTGAGGGCGGAAGTGGTGTAGTGGCAAGTGGCACGCTCACCACGCGAGCGGTCCGGGATCAAATCCTGGGTCGTGAGTCGCCCGGGCCAACCAAGCCTTCCATCCCTCCGGGGTCGGTTAATTGGTACCAGACTTGTCTGGGAGGATGATAAAAACACTGACTTGAACATCGGCTGGCCCCCGCAAGTCATTGTATAGGCCACATCGCATTCAAATGCCACTGCGAATGTACAAATGGAAGTAGAATGCGTGCCGCATCCCAAAGGGATTGATCAACGGCAAATGCTTTATCCTTTATGCTGTTTGAGTCTTTTGAAGTAGGGAGTCGCAAGTGGAGGTCGGGAATGTTGGTTTAGTGCAGATGATGTAGTATTTGAAAATAAGATGAAATACCAAAATAACATGGTAAAATAATCAAATATAGTAAAATATCAAGGCAGGAGTGCTTCGCTTGTTCTTGATTGGAGGAATGCTTCTCAATCCTTAGACTTTTCCGTTGTGAGAAAGATTGGAGAAAAGAAGGTGTATCATGCTCACTCCGCCTTCCCGTGTGTACCGTTGTCACCGTATCCCTTTGCAGTGGCTGTGGTGCTGCTCGTGTGAAATCTTAATTTCGTTATGCATTGGGTGTTTTGATTTCTCAGAATTCGGATCGCGTCGGTTACGAGGTTAACGCATTGAGTTTCGATATAGGCGAGCGATTATCCGAAGTGAGTTAAACGGCGCTAGTTCGAAGGGAATTACTAGGTAGGTGTCAAGCCGTGAAGTTTTTTGATATGGATTTTATCACGATCACAATTCATCAGTAGTGATGTGATTAGGTTGTAATAAAGTACAGAGGGGGGGGGGGAATCGCCTTCCCTCTATATCTGAAACGGAATCATCACACTGCTAAACTCCAACGGAAATGCACTCAACAGAATATTGGAGAGCACATTCCACTCTATTAACACATTGACGACAACGCGAGTTTTGGCTTTTTTGGCCACGTGGGACCGCGGCGATTTTGCGGGCGCGCTCGCCTCAGGTCGTTCAAGCAGATTTTGAGTGATAAATACACAACTAATGATCAATTCAAAACCAAATTAGTAAATTGTAATGAGCGCAACCTACCCAGGGGTACAGTAGTGGAATTTTGATCAAAAGACATGGAATAACAATGAAAAAGCGAAATTTTTCAGAACTAGCTGCAATGGACCTTAAAAGTAATTTTACGTTGATTATTCCAATCAAAACACACATGTTGTCATCCCTAAAGTTCCTTATCTACTTCTACTACTTTTAAATCTTCACATTAATAAAAAGAGAAAGTAAACGAAAAATTTATTGAAATGAAGATTTCGTATGGTTCAGAAATCCTCCTCTAAATTAAAGTATACGTGACCATTCTAAGGGCCACTATGTTTGTAGCTACGTCAAGGTCTCTTCCATGGAATGAATACAAGAAACTTCTAAAAGAATCAGGCGTGCGCGAAAAAAATGAGTGTAATGGGTGCGGGGGATATATATCCCGCACGGTCCGACATGGCCTGCAATGCGCGGGATATATATCCCCCGCGTTGTCGTCAATGTGTTAAAAAATTCCAATAACCTTCTACACGCTGGCACCAGGAGATTTCCTCAAGAAAACATGGTGTATGGTCGATTGAACGAGGTACCCGATGGATAGTGGACCATTGCGACGTTGTCTGAAACGCTGATCAGTAGGGGTCAGACTTCCTCTCGGAGGCTAATCATCAATTACCTATTCAAAAAGTTATTACGGCAGTTTCACTCTAGAGCGATCAATAGGCCTCCTTGAGCTTAACTGTGACGGCAGATGACTTCATATCTGAGGACAGTGGGGGCAGTGGAGGACAGTCTGCTTCTGCTTATGGGGATTCATGTGTGCTAATCATCACACGGCTTGTGCGAAAAGTTTGGCGATGTGTGCCATGTTAGGAGACATTTGCCCTATTCTGGTTGAAATCCCTCCAACCAGCAAAGGGCAAAAATTTGGCAGAAATCCCGC